CCGCCGCCCGCAGCCCCGCCCCGCCCCCCGCAGCCCCGCCCTCTCCTCCCTGGGGCCGCGCTCTCCCGCCCGCCCGCCCCGCCTCCCGCAGCCCCGCCCCGCCTCCCGCAGCCCCGCCCCGCCTCCCGCAGCCCCGCCCACCTCCCGCAGCCCCGCCCCGCCTCCCGCAGCCCCGCCCCCTCCTCCCTGGGGCCGCGCCCTCCTGCCCGCCCGCCCGGGCCCGCCCCGCGCTGGGAATTTACAGCGGCCTCCGCCAGGCCAGCTAAGCTGAGCCGGTCTCTTCCTCGGGAAGGCAGGGCTGAGGTGCCCGCAGGGCAGCCATGGAGGCGGCGCGGAGGCGGCAGCACCCGGGAGCGGCTGGGGGCCCAGGCGCGCAGCTGGGCGCCTCCTTCCTGCAGGCCAGGTGGGCGCGTGCTGGCCGGGGGGAGCGGCGGGCTCGAAGCCTGGGCACCGGGGCCTCGCCACGTGACGCTCCGAGGCCGGCGGGGCCTGAACCTCGTGTGCGGCCCGGGCGGGGGCGAAGCGGAGCGCGGGGGCTTGGAGGCGCGCTACCTAGCGGCGGTGCCCCAGTGTTCCGGTCTCTGCCTGGGGACCCGGGGGCCCAGCGAGGCTCGGCTTCCCCGCTTTGCCGTGGCTGCGGTGGCAGGAGCCCCCGCCCGGAGTTTGGGGTTTCCTCCCTTCCCGCGCTCCCCTGCGACCCGGGGGTGGGGGGGCGCCGGGACAGCCGCTGCGCTGGGAGAGCTCTCCAGGGGCTGGGGACACACACACACACACCTCGTCACTCGGGCCCCCAACTTATCCGCAGGTGCCGGCGCCGCCTCCGCGTTCTCGGGATCTCCTCAGCCCTGAGGAGGACCTGATTCTGCCGTTAATTAGGAGGCTCTCTGCTTGACCTGGGGTACCCAAGAAAGTGCTAATGTAATGGAAGAGACAGCGGAGAAGGGTGGAAGCTCCCGTCCAGAGAACGAATGAGGAGCCCTTCTCACCAAAGGGGCCAAGTTTTTGGTATATCTAGTTGGCATGAGCAGAGCTCCATTCTACTTTCGTCCGGTTTTACTGATAAGAAACATTCACTGCATTCAGCAGGCATTCTTTAAGCGCCTGTGGTGTGCCTAGCTGTGCCAGGAACTAAGGGGGTGGGCAGGGTGAAGGTAGGAGAGACTTACCGTCCAGTAGGGACCAGGAGAGACAGAGCCCAAGTGAGGGTGAGAGGTCATCTTGCAGGGCTTCATGGAGGAAGTGGCACTTGAACTGACTCTCAAGAGGATTCAGTAAAGGACCCAGGGAAGACAGGCTGTTCCATCCAGCCAGGGGAACAGTGGAGAAAGGTCACGCTGGCCCAGGTCAAGTTTAGTGGTGCTGGAACTTTCCAGCTGTAAAAGAAAGTGACAGGAGGATACAGACTGACTGTGAAGGACCTTTAATGGCAGCAAGTCTAGGACTTGAGTGAGGCCTAGAGTGCACTTGCGCTGGGGACGGGCGCACAGCCCTGACAGTGAGTGCCGCCCCTAATGTTGGGCCCTGGGGGCCTCACTTGTCTCACCCTAGTTCCTGTCCTAGGTGACCGGTTAAGGACACAGTCTTTATCCCATAGGTACTGGGGAGTCATGGGAAGTTTCTGAGCACTGGCACGCACAGAGTCCTTGTGAGGAAATTTGTGGTACGACTTGGATGGGGGGTGAAGTCTGCCCCCCACAGCATGGCCTCGGCCCATTTGCAGTATCATTGCTCTCAAAACAGTAGGCAGAATCATCCTGTCCAGTTCCTAGGATGCTTGGATTTCCTCTGCTGCATCTGTGCTTTGCTCACTACCTCTTAAAGTAACCCATTCCAGCTTCCACCTGCTTTGTTGCCAGTTTTTGTATTATAATGAAAGTATTTAATTAGGCCAGATGCCATGGCTCATGCCTGTAATCCCAGCACTTTGGGAGGCCAAGGTGGGTGGGTCACTTGAGTCCAGGAGTTTGAGACCAGCCTGGGCAACATCGAGAATCGCCGTTCCTACTAAAACATATAAAAATTATCTGGGTGTGGTGGCCCACCCCTGTAATCCCAGCTACTCAGGAGGCTGAGGCACCAGAATCACTTAAGCCTGGCAGCTGGAGGCTGCAGCGAGCCGAGACAGTGCCACTGTACTGTAGCCTGAGTGACAGAGCGAGACGACATCTCAAAAAAGAAAAAAAAAGGGCCGGGCGCGGTGGCTCACGCCTGTAATCCCAGCACTGTGGGAGGCCGAGGCGGGTGGATCACAAGGTCAAGAGATCGAGACCATCCTGGTCAACATGGTGAAACCCCGTCTCTACTAAAACTGCAAAACATTAGCTGGGCATGGTGGCGCGTGCCTGTAATCCCAGCTACTCAGGAGGCTGAGGCAGGAGAATTGCCTGAACCCAGGAGGCGGAGGTTGCGGTGAGCCGAGATCGCACCATTGCACTCCAGCCTGGGTAACAAGAGCGAAACTCCGTCTCCAAAAAAAAAAAAAGAAAAAAAAAGAGAGAGAGAGAAGAAAAGAAAGCATTATAATTAATGCCCATGATAAATCAAATAACAAAAGCTTCAAGTTTTAAAAAGCAACCCCCCAGGAACCCCTTCCTTTTCTGCCAATCCCTGTTCCACCCTTCCCTGGCACCAGAGACAGTCACTTTAGCTTCTTTTAGCTCTTTTTACCAGAGTCAAATTCATATTTCCAAATAATAGGCTTATAATAATCACAAACATTATGTAGCACTTTCTGTGGATCAGGCCCTGCTCTAAGTTTTTGCATCTATTAGTTAAACCACAACCCTTCCATTTTACAGATGAGGACATTGAGGCCTAAGAAGTAAAGTAGCTTGCTCAAGATCTCATTAGTGGCAGAGCTGGGATATGAACCCAGTCTCCAAAGTCCACCCTCTAAAAAAAAAAAAAAAACTACACCCAATTGCAATGTCTTGGCTCATCAATTTTATTTTATTTTTTTGAGACGGAGTTTTACTCGTCACCCAGGCTGGAGTGCAGTAGTGGGATCCCGGCTCACTGCAGCCTCCACCTTTCTGGTTGAAGCAATTCTGCCTCAGCCTCTTGAGTAGCTGGGATTACAGGTGCCCACTACCACACCCAGCTAATTTTTGTATTTTTAGTGGAGATGAGGTTTCACTATGTTGGCCAGGCTGGTCTCGAAGTCCTGACCTTAGGTAATTCACCTGCCTCGACCTCCCAAAGTAATGGGATTGCACGTGTGAGCCACTACGCCCAGCCTTTGATTCCTTTAGGAAAATGAAAAAAATTTTTTTTTTGAGACGGAGTTTCACTCTTGTTACCCAGGCTGGAGTGCAATGGCACGATCTCGGCTCACCGCAACCTCCGCCTCCTGGGTTCAGGCAATTCTCCTGCCTCAACCTCCTGAGTAGCTGGGATTACAGGCACGCGCCACTATGCCCAGCTAATGTTTTGTATTTTTAGTAGAGACGGGGTTTCACCATGTTGACCAGGATGGTCTTGATCTCTGGACCTCGTGATCCACCCGCCCCCGCCTCCTAAAGTGCTGGGATTACAGGCGTGAGCCACCGCACCCGGCTGGAAAAAGAAAAAAATTTTTAAAGTAGTCATGCATGGCAGCATATGCCGTTCTGTGGTCCTAGCCACTCAGGAGGCTGAGATGGGAGGATCGCTTGAGGCTGGGAGGTCAAGGCTGCAAGGAACCAGGACTGTGCCACTGCAGTCTAGCCTGGGTGACAGAGCAAGACCTTGTCTCAAAAAATAAAAAGAGGACATTAGTCTCTACCCTAAACTTTAACTTTCTTCACCATTTCCTGCAACTTCTGTCTTCTGTTTTCATGTTATCAAAGTAGACTGTATTTATCTGCTACTTTAAAATCATAATTCTCTTCCATGTGTTATCTGTGAATTGACTGTACACATTGAAAATTAATATAGAATGTGTACATTATTTGAGCCATGTATATATTGTTCCAACAGAGCCAAATAATGCTGCCAGTTAAATTTGCTTTCTTATGTTGCTTTTGTTTTTCTTGGAGTTTCTGCTTGCCTTTCTTTATTCTCTCATTATTTGCCTTCATTTCCTCAGTTTTCTTCTGTTCAGGCTTTTCATTGTCTTATATTTCACCATTCTTTAAATAGAACCAAAACTAATCTCTCTGTGGTTCCTCATTTGTGGGTCATTGCTTGACTTCTTCAGGATGAAACCCCTTCCTTTTCTGCCAGGCAGCCCTGCAGATGCTGCTGACCGCCTGGAGTATTTTAAGTGTATGGCACGCACTCCTCAACTGTCATGGTGTCACTGTCACCATATGGTAGACTTGTAAAGCTGGGAAGCGGAGAAGAGTCTAATAACCTTGTTTCGGGTTACCTGCTATTGTGCCATCCCCATTGTTCTCAGCAGCATTTGCTAGTGATTGACACCTAGGGCTGGCACAGGCTGGGGGCTCCGTGTCCAAAGTCTGTGGAGCCAGGAACTTGGGACAGGCTTGAGGCTGCTCATCCCCAGGACAGGAGCTGGGGGAGAGGATGCCTTTATTGTTCCATGATCTGCCTCCCGTGGGCAGAGTTCTAAGAGAAGAAAACCAGGCAGGTGCTCATCAGTCTTTTTTTTTTTTTTTTTTTGAGACAGAACCTTGCTGTGTTGCTCAGGCAGTGTAGTGATGCTGTCTCAGCTCGCTGCAACCTCTGCCTCCGGAGTTCAAGTGATTCTCATGCCTCCGCCTCCCCAGTAGCTGGATTATAGGCGTGCACCACCACACTGGGCTAGTTTTTGTTTGTTTAGTAGAGACAGGATTTCATCATGTTGGTCAGGCTGCTCTTGAATTCCTGGCCTCATGTGATCTGCCCACCTCAGCCTCCCAAAGTGCTGGGATTACAGGCATGAGCCACTGCACCCAGTCTAATCTTGATTTGCAAGCTGTGTGCTGAGTATCTGCCCTACACGCCTGCTTTTTTTGGGTGATAGAAAAAAAATGGGTCATTTTTTTTTCACCCTCTGTCACCCAGGCTAAAGTGCAGTGGTGCGGTTGTAGCTCACTGAAGTCTGAAGCTTCCAGGCTTAAGTGATCATCCTGCCTCAGCCTCCTGAGTAGCTGGAACCACAGATGTGTGCCACCATACCCAGTTAATTTTCATTTTTATTTTTTAGAGATGAGTTTTTTATTTGTTTTGTTTTGTTTTTGAGAAAGAGTTTTACTCTTGTTGCCCTGGCTGGAGTGCAATGATGTGATCTCAGCTCCCTGCAACCTCCGCCTCCCGGGTTCAAGCGATTCTCTTGCTTCAGCCTCCCAAGTAGCTGGGATTACAGGGGCATGGCACCATGCCTGGCTAATTTTATATGTTTATATATAACAGACACTATGTTGGTCAGGCCAGTCTCAAACTCCTGACCTCAGGTGATCTGCCCCCCTTGGCCTCCCAAAGTGCTGAGATTATAGGCATGAGCCACTGGCCCCAGTCCCCCTCTTTTTTTGGCCTGTCCTACTAAGTTAGGCTGTACTAATGACAGGGATTCTTATCGACCAAGGTGCTTCCTGAGGTGGAGGAGGAGACAGTCGCTGGGCCTCTAGTATGTTCTAGGTACCCATAACTTCCAGATACACTCTGTTTGTTTTTTAACAACAGCACAAATCCAATTTATTGACTTTTCATTAGTTTAAATCCTTGACCTTGAGGGGTACAGCATCACTCGGATTCTGTGTCCAATGGCCTTAGCAGGAAGGTTGCTTCAGAATTTGGCACGAACCATGCCACTGTTTCCATGGGCCCGAGTTACCTTTCCCCAGATTACTCTGGTTTTGCTTGGTTTGCCACCAGGAGTCACTGTGTTGTTCTTTGCTTTGTATACATAAACACATCTCTTGCCCAAATAGAATTCTGTTTCATCTTGGGCATAAACACCTTCAATTTTAAGAAGAGCTGTGTGCTCCCTTTGGTTCCGGAGACCCCGCCTATAGCCGGCAAAAATAGCCTTGGACCACAGCCTTCCAGACACAGCTCCTTTTATAAGTCCTGTTCCCAGCAGGCCTCCAAATTTCAGCAGCAGACGCTTCTCTCATTGTCTGCTTTTGGAGGCCTTACCCTGATGGTCACTGAGGAAGGAGCTGGGTAGGGCCTCTGTGTTGGTCACTGGCCTCAGACCACTGAGCAGTCCTCACGGTTACTGAATATCTGTCCAGCCTGAAGATCCAGCCGCCCCTCCCTTCTCTTTATCCGGCTCCATGCAGCATCTTCAATTCCACCTCCAGGCCTTTCCCCTGCTCTCCTGGTTTTCTGTCTAGTTAGATTCGTCCCTCTGTGCCTTGAGGCTCCCTTCTCTTATGCAAGCTTTGTGTATTGCTCTAGGCCACGCTGATCCCTTTCTAACTTGATCTCCTGATAAGCCTAGTAATCAAAAACAGAATAGCAAGCTGTTGGCTCACAGCTGTAATCCCAGCACTTTGGATGGCCGAGATGGGTTGATTACTTGAGCCCAGGAATTTCAGGTCAGCCTGGTAAACATAGTGAGACCTCATTTCTACAAAAAAAAAAAAAAAAAAAAAAAAAAAAATTAGCTGGGCATAGTGGCATGCACCTGTACTCCCAGCTACCCAGGAGACTGAGGTGGGAGGATTGCTTGAGCCTGGGAGGACGAGGCTGCAGTGAGCTGTGATCAGGCCACTGCACTCCAGCCTGGGTGACCCTGTCTCTAAAAAACAACAAAAAACAAAATAGCAAGCTGTTGAGAGCACAGGTCTTGAATTAATATAAACCCAGGTTTGAATTCTGTGTGTTATTCAGGATGAATGGGCTGCAAGTGACAGAAAGCCAGTGTGAACTCCACCATCCTTAGCAAAAAGGAATGTGTTGGCTCATATGGCCAGATCACAAACTGGGAACACGAACAGTGCCAGCGCTTTTTCTCCCCCTTTCCCTGATCCTCTGTGCGAGGCTACTTCATTCTTACCTGGCTGTCTCTTGAGGGTGGAACCTTGGCTGTAGGCAGTCCTGGGCTTGCACTCTTAGAACCCAGCGCCATAAAGGAAGGAGCTCTTTTCCCCACCTCCAGTTAGAAAAGTCCCATTGGGCCAGACTGGGTCACTGGCCCTTACTGTGGCCAAGGAAATATCATGTTTTACCAGAAGAAGCAGGGGGCGGAAAATAGCCTGACAAAGGAATTGTCACCACAGCTCCTTACTACATGGGTGGCTTTAGCACCTAATCCCAGAAGCCGCGGTGGCTCAGGCCAGTTGTCCTGGCACTTGAGGAGGCGAGGCTATGTGTTCAAGGCCAACCTGGGCAACACAAGAGCACCTAATCCCTCTAAGCCTCAGTCTCCTCAACTGTGAAGCAGATGCACAGATTAGATGAGATAGCGCAGGTAAAGTCCTAGCATTGCACACAGCTGGTGTTCAGTGAGGGGGTGGGAAGTACTGAATAGAGGGGACAGGAAGACTTAGTTGACCTAGGGAAGGCCTGCCCAACCTGTCTTGCCTGCCACCAGAAAATGAGATTCCCTCAAGAGCTTGCCTCCCTGTGTGGGGGTACTCTACCAGCCAGTAGGGATCATCCTTGGAATTGGCAGGAAGGGATCCCAGAAAATTATGGCAGCAACAGCAGTATTGACAGAAGACAGTCTTTGCAGTGCCTCTAAGCTGATGTTTGCCACTAGAAAAGGACTAACTAGAGCCCGGCGCGGTGGCTCACGTCTGTAATCCCAGCACTTTGGGAGGCCGAGGCGGGCAGATCATGAGGTCAGGAGTTCAAGACCAGCCTGGCTAACATAGTGAAACCCTGTTTCTACTAAAAATACAAAAAATTAGCCAGGCGTGGTAGTGGGTGCCTGTAATTTCAGCTACTCGGAAGGCTGATGCAGGAGAATCACTTGAACCTTGGGAGAACTTTAAAGGTCACCCCTGTTCTCAAGGTTACAGTGAGCCGAGATTGTGCGATTGTACTCCAGCCTGGGTGACAGTGTGAGACTCTGTCTCAAAAAAAAAAAAAAAAGAAAAAGAAAAAAGAAAAGGAGTAACTGGTCCTTGTGACTGTTTTAAGCAGCCAGTAATTGCTGAGCAGGGACTAGGGCCTGAGCTCAGAACTCTGGTGAAATAGATTTGTGGTACATGGTGCCTGTTCTTGGCACAAATGAGACGATGAAACTCACACGTCAGTCATCTTAGGAGGTGTTGGGCTGCTTGTCACTGCAGGTGTGCAAGTAATTGCAGGGACTCTGTAAAGAGGATTTGGACTTTGATAGGGAGGTGGGTGAGTTGGAAGAACCTTAAAGGTCACCCCTGTTCTCAAGGGTCTAGATGGGAGTATACAACTCCAGCCCCGTTATGTCATGGCCACACTGAGTTGGCATTGAAGTGCTCCCTGCAGTGAGCTGGCGGGGCTTTGGGAAAAGCTTCCCAGAACAGGCAGCACTGGTCCTGGAAGTTTAGTGCATCTGTGAACAGCAGAAGACCAGTGCTTCGTGTCAGGGACAGGCCTCCAAAGACGTGTCATGGCAGCACTCCCCTTCCTGCTGTGTCTCTCACATCACCTTGCTTCTGCTGGCTCCTCGGGTTCCACTGTAGACTGCTGAGAAGAGAAATCCCAGCAGCCCAACCTGACCTCATAGTGCTGGAATCAAGGGGGCAGGAGGCCCTATCTGTTTCAGTCTCTCTAAGGCACATTTCACTGGGGGCTCTGATTGGCCCAGCCCTGGTCACACGCCCATCCCATAGGCCAATCATGATGGACCCAACTATGGGATGGAGGTTAAAAGTATAAGCTCAGGAGCCCAATCATGTGGGTTTAAACCCTTAGCTGTGTGACCTTGAGCAAGTTATTGAGCCTCTTGGGCCTTAGTTTTGTCACTTGTAAAACGGGGGTTATATTTCAATCTCAAAAGGTTTCTGTGAGGATTAAATGAGATAATACATCTAAACAGGGAACAATAGTGCCTGGAATATACTAAGTGCTCAACCCAGGTCCCTGCCGTCATCCATCATCATGTTTTATGCTTTTCAGCCATGATTGCATGCTTTGCCATACTCAATTTCCTCCATCATTCAGTAGGAGAGAATGCTCAGCAGTTATACCTGTTTAGCTGTTTCCTTCCTGAATCACAGGGAAGCTAAGGTCAGGGCAGCTGAAGTCCACCTTCCCCTTGACCACAGGGCCAGACCCCAGTATTTCCAGCAAAACCCTATCCCTAGAACTCAGTTGTGTGTGTCTCCTCCTGTCCTCACATCCCCAGACCTCTTTGTGGCTAATCTCAGGAGGAGATTTTGGTGGAGGAGGAGAGAAGAGCTGACCTCTCTTGTCTGGTTCCTTCCCAGGCACGGCTCTGTCAGCCCTGACGAGGCTGCCCGCGCGGCTCCCTTCCACCTCGACCTCTGGTTCTACTTCACGCTGCAGAACTGGGTTCTGGACTTTGGGCGCCCCATTGCCATGGTGAGTGTAAAACGGTACACAGGGCCCTGACCAGCACTGAGGGCACTTAGTGTGACTTGAATTCGCCAAGTGACCTTAGTTAGACAAGTCACTTCTCCTTTATGTCTCAGTACACTGAGAGAATAGGCCTGGATGCCTTCATATCCTTAGCTCCGTGACGTGGCCCGTCAGGCCACTGCCAGCAAGTGGCGGGGCTGAAGAGTCATACTGTGCCCCGACTCTCATGGGGTGGTCCTGAACAAGTCATAGTGTAATACTGTAACCCCCTGTGGCCTGTGTCTGGAAGCAGGTGAACCAGGTTTATCCAAATCACCAAGACAGCCAAAAGGGTATGGGAAAGGAAGTGGAGCATCCCCGCATCCTTCCCCATTACCTTGGGATAGTATTATTTTTTCTGGAGTTGAAGCACGTAGGCTGGTTTTGCATATTATGTATGACTATGAGCCGTGGGTAATGTGTACTGCCATCCAGTAAAACCATCCCCTGCCCTCCAAGGCTACTTCATCCTTTAGTATACAGAGATGGTGTCCATAGAAGAGACTGATGCTGGAAAGGCACCAGTGCCCCTTGCTTATAGTGGGAGGAAGGATGATTGATAGATAGATAGATAGATAATTGACAGGCGATAGCTACATAATAAATAGACGAATGTGAAGAAAATTCAGTGAAGTATCACCACGTGTCATTATTTGGTAGAGGGGCACAGTGTGACTATTCACGTTCCCCAGACCTCTCCCACCTAACTTGCTGGCAGTTGCCTGACAGGCCATAGTCAGACAGCCAAAAGATTATGAAGGCATCCGGGCCTGTTCTCTCAGTTTACTGGAAGATAAAGGGTAAGTGACTTTTCGAAGGTCACTCAGCAAATTCAAGTGTGAAAATAACAACATCCTGCCAGCCACGGTGGCTCATGCCTGTAATCCCAGCACTTCGGGAGCCTGAGGCAGGTGGATCAACTGAGGTCGGGAGTTCAAGATCACCCTGACCAACATGGAGAAACCCCATCTCTACTAAAAATATAGAATTAGCCAGGCATGGTGGCACATGCCTGTAGTCCCAGCTACTCAGGAGGCTGAGGCAGAAGAATTGCTTGAACCCAGGAGGTGGAGGTTGCAGTGAGCCGAGATTGCACCATTGCACTTCCAGCCTGAGCAACAAGAGTGAAACTCCATCTCAAAAAAATAAAAATAAAATAACAATATCCAGTGCCGAAACTGGCACTTTGTAAATGCTAGTGATCATGCAAATTAGCAAAGCCCCTTTGGGGCCGGGCATGGTGGCTCATGCCTATAATCCTAGCACTTTGGGAAGCTGAGATAGGAAGATCACTTGAGCTCAGGAGTTTGAGACCAGTCAGGGCAATATAGTGAGACCCCCGTCTCTACAAAAAATTTGAAAATTAGCTGGGCATGGTGATGTGCACCTGTAGTCCCAGCTACTCAGGGGCTGAGCTGGGAAGATCTCCTGAGCCTGGAAAGTCGAGGCTGCAGTGAGCCATGATCACGCCACTGCACTCCAGCCTGGTCTACAGAATGAGACCCTGTCTCAAAAAGCAAAACAAACAAAAAGCAAAGCCCTTTTGGAAAGCAGTAATAATTCGTAAGTAACAACTTGGCAAGATTATAACTAGTACTTAGAATAGTACCTAACACAATAGGTGTTCAATTATTATTGAATGAATAATAATTATAGCAAGGTAAGAATAGTGGCTAACGTATCAAATGCTTACTCTGTTCTGAGCTCTTTATGTGTTTCAGTTTATTTAATTCTCATATCAACACTATTGCCAATCTCAATTTTATAGATGAGGAAACTTGAGGAGAGAGAAAAAAAGTAATTGGCTCAAGGCAAGCAGAGAGGCCAGCATCTGCCCAGGCCCTCTGACTTCAGAGCCCCTTCCTGACAAGGTTGAACTCTCTGTCACATAAATATCCAGAATCCTAATCTGTTCACCCCTGCTGATCCAGTAACACCCTTCCAAGAATCTGCCTGCAAGGATATAATCAGCAAGAAGACAGCAGCTTCCTCTAACCCAAAGATGTCCCTTGCAGTGGTGTTTATAATAGACAAACCTTAGAAGAGACTTGAGTGTCCAGCATTAGGGCCTGGGTAAATGAGTTTTGCTATGCCCATTATAGAGAATGTTTCATAGCCATTAAGCAGAAATTGTGGATACTGTAGAGCAACCTGGAATATTTAAGGAGAAAGAAGTTTCCTAAATGACATGCAGAACTGACTAGTCAATAGCGAGCTTGTCAACCTGGAATCAAAGACTTGACGGGCATAAAGAAAACCTGTCAGGCGAGTTACAATGGCTCCCGCCTATAATCCCAGCACTTTGGGAGGCTGAGGCAGGTGGATCACAAGGTCAGGAGATCAAGACCATCCTGGCCAATGTGGTGAAACCCCATCTCTACTAAAATACAAAAAACTAGCTGGGCGTGGTGGCTTGTACCTGAAGTCCTAGCTACTTGGGAGGCTGAGGCAGGGGAATCGCTTGAACCAGGGAGGCAGAGGTTGCAGTGAGCCGAGATCGCACCCTTCTCTCCAGCCTAGCGACAGAGTGAGACTCCCCTGGCAGTGCTTTCAGGGAGTGATGGTGGGTGCTGGTTCTTCTTCCTGCAGACTTTTTGAAGGCTGCCTTTTAAATGTGGAAAAATAAGAGGAATTGAGCCAAGAGTCGGGGCATCTGATTGGGTTTATGGGTGACCTTGGGCAAGTCACTGTCCTCTGGGCTTCATTTCTGTCCTCCCCAAGAAGACTTGTTGGGCCAGCTGCTTGGATGTCTCTTCCAGCATGAAGAAACCATATACTGGGTGCCAAAGAAGCTGCCCATCAAACTGGTGCTCCAGGGAGAGGGAGAGATGAGGCCAGGAGTGGGCTCGTGGCTCCCGTTACTCACTAGGACTCAGCTTCTACTGGCATAACAGTGCCTGTTGGGCAGATCACTTCCCCCATCCTGGTCAGAGATACTGTGACCGCTATAACGCTAAGTGGGACGTGGTGGAGAGTAGACATTCAGAAAGCTCATGTATACTCTAGAGATTTTCAAATGTATGCATAATAGTTGCAGTTTTGTAACAACTAAAAACAAAAACATTTACAAGTTATAAAAGTAACATGTCATAGTTGTAACATAAAGAAGTGTTACACTCCCTCTACCCCTTTCCTGTCCCACTGCTGACAGTTTGGAGAACACCCTTTCACTCTTTTCCCTGCTCATGCAAACACACGTATACATCCTTTTCCCTTCTAACCATAATGAGATTTTGCTTTCTACTTTATTCTGCAACCTGCTTGTTTTCCTTTAGAGTATATCATACAGTGGGGCACGATGGCTCACACATGTCATTCCAGCACTTTGGGAGGCCAGGGCAGGAGGATCAAAATAAGTAAGAAGAAAAAAATGGAATATATTATAGATCTCTCTCCATGTCGGTACATATAAAGCATTGTTTCTGTTAAGGGCTACTTAACCTTCCAGGGTAAGAAGTACTATCATGGATTCAGCTGTTCCTGTTTGAAGAGTCAGCCTATTTCTGGTATTTTGCTATCACAAAGAGTATTTTAGCAAGTATGTATATGATATAGGCAGAGAGACAGATCCACACATGCACACTTAATAAGAGAAGGAGAGAGAGATTGAGATTGCTGCATTCTGGGAGTTTTATTTCTGCAGGTTTAGTTTATCCAATGTGGCATCTCTGTGTTAAAAGAGGTAACCATCTAAATCCTTCCTTGAAACGTTTGAGCATCACATATGTTTTCTACCAACAGATACTAGGAGTACAGTTTGGGGGATTGTGAGATACGTTGACCCTGCATAGGGGTTTTCATGCTGGCCTGGACAAGCCTGGGGCTCAGAGGAGAGGGCATTCTAAGGGAGGAACTGCCCCAGCCTGCCTGCCTCTGTCTGGGGAGATAGGGAAGGAAACGTTGAAGCTACCGTGTAGAGCATGCTTATTTTCTACTTTGTCTCCTAATGTGTACTTTGAACCTGGTTTGGAAGCAGCTCCTCCACATAGTGGATAGCACACTTTCCACACCAAGGCCTAGCAGTCAGGAGACTCATCTTGGAATGCCAAAACACAAAGTGTTCAAGTAGGCCCTCTGGGGCCCCTCTCTTGTGTTATAGATGGGGAAACTGAGGCCCAGAGAGGGGAAGGACTAGCCCAGGGTCACCCAGCAAGTTGGTGCCACAACTGAGTCCCCAAGGAGCCTGCCAACTCCCAAGCTGCTCTCAGGGCCATTTATTTGGTATCTGATGGGTGAGGGGCACAAGGTCAGGCCCTTCCTGGAATTATATCTCCTCTGCATCTGGGAATGTCTGTTACCTCCTCTGGGACTCAGTTTTCCTGTCTGGATAAACCTTTGTCCCAGGGCTGCCAAGAAGTCCAGAGATCACAGAAAGAATTAAGTGTACATGATGGAGGCAAGGGGTGAGGGGGGGTGAGGTGGGCAGCATTTGGGGCAGACTTCCTTGAGGCCTGAGGGCCATGTGGAGCTTGCCCAGGTGAGCTCATTCTTCCATTTGCTCCCAGCTGGTATTCCCTCTGGAATGGTTTCCACTCAGCAAGCCCAGTGTGGGGGACTACTTCCACATGGCCTACAACGTCATCACGCCCTTTCTCCTGCTCAAGGTATGTGCCCCACGGCCCCCATCTCTCCTGTCATCCTCATTCTTTGCACACCTGGCAGGAAGGTGATGCTAAGCCCTGTGTGCTGATTCAAGCATGCTCCTGCCTGCTGCTGCGGGGTGCAGGCTGTGACAGAGTTGCATGTCCAGGGCCTGGGGCCTGAGGCAGAGCTGCCTGTGGCTGGGAAGGATGGAAGAGGCCCCCCCCAAAGAAGGGCTTTTGATTTGGGCCTCAGCCTGGCGTGCCAGCGTGGGGAAGCAGAGAGGTGTACAGATACAAGGACCTGAAGACAAGGCTGTGCTTGGGAAACCCTAAAACATTTGGGGAAGCTGAGGCAGGGGTGAATGGGGGTCCAGGGAGAGGTCAGGGGCCCACTGGGAAGACAGGAAGTAGCCAGGTGGCAGGAGAGGCGGCACCAGCAGCTGAACTCCATCCTCCACCCTGGAGAGCCCTGAGACGTCACTGGGAGCACAGAACAGGGACTGCTGGCTTAGTACTCTGCCAAGTAAGGGCTTTAAAACTACTATAGGTTGAGCATCTTTAATCCAAAAATCTCAAATCCAAAATGCTCCAAAGTCTGAAACCTTTTAAGCACTGGCATGATACCACAAGTGGAAAATTTAGCCAGGCACGGTGGCTCGCTCCTGTAATCCCAGCACTTTGGGAAGCCGAGGCAGGCGGATCAATTGAGGTCAGGAGTTCGAGACCAGCCTGGCCAACATGGTGAAACCCCGTCTCTACTAAAAATACACAAAAAAATTAGCTGAGCATGCTGGCAGGCGCCTGTAGTCCCAGCCACTCGGGAAGCTGAGGCAGGAGAATCACTTCAACCCGGGAGGTAGAGGTTACAGTGAGCCAGGATCATGCCATTGCATTCTATCTGGGCAACAGAGTGGGACTCCATCTCAGAAAAACAAAAACAAAAACTTAGGCCCAGGAACAGTGGCTCATGTCTATATTCCCAGCACTTTGGAAGGCTTAGGCAGGCGGATCACCTGAGGTCAGGAGTTCAAGACCAGCCCTGCCAACGTGGTGAAACCCTGTCTCCAATAAAAATACAAAAAACATTAGCCAGGCATGTTGGTGCATCGTCCCAGCTGCTTGAGAGGCTAAGGCAGGAGAATCTCTTGAACCCAGCAGGTGGAGGTTGCAGTGAGCTGAGATTACACCACTGCACTCCAGCCTGGGGGATAGAGTTAGACTCTGTCTCAAAAAAGAAAATTCCACGCGTAAGTACTTATCACAAACTTTGTTTCATGTATAAAATTATTAACATATTATATAAAATTACCTTCAGCCTGTGTGTATAAGGCATGTATGAAATATAAACAAATTTTTCCAGGCATGATGGCTCACGCCTGTAATCCCAGTACTTTGGGAGGCTGATGGGGGAGGATTGCTTGAAACCAGGAGTTTGAGACCAGCGTGGGCAACATAGTGAGACCCCATCTCTACAAAAATTTAAAAATGAGCTCGGCATAGTGGTGCATACCTGTAGTCCCAGCGGCTCTGGGGGCTGAGGGGGGAGGATCTCTTGAGCCACTACACTCCAGCCCGAGTGACAGAGCGAGTCCCTGTCCCAAAGAAAAAAGAAACAAATGAATTTCATGTTTAGACTTGCATATGCATTCCCAAGACATCTCATTGTTTATATGCAAATATTCCAAAATCCGAAATCTGAAACATTTCAGATGAAGGATACTCAGCCTGTATCACCATCTACTGTCACCATCATTTTGTATTGACAGATATTTCAAATCTCCAGAAACAGGAGGGGTATCATCTCAGAACTCCAGTGTGTTCTCAGTCAAATAGTAGCATTTTCTCAGTTAAATAGCTGACATTTTCATGTTTGCTGTGGACCAGTCACTCGGAAATCAGAGGGTCCCTTCAGCAGGATGGGCCAGCCACCCAGGGACACAGCCAGGGCTGTCCCCTCCAGTTTACAGCTCATGCTTGACCTTGGGCAAGGAGTTGGCCCTCTGGATCTTTTTCCTCCCTGGGTAAAGTGGGGTAGTGCTGCTCCCTAGCCCCTCCTGGGTTCATAGGTGCCACGGGAGGATCTGGAGTCTGGGCTGGCCTGCTAAAATGGACCCACCACTTTTCCAAGTGGTTTTCCAGCTGGAAGGGTCCATCCCACCCCAGGTGTGAGGGGGGAAGCAGAGGGTGTCATATACTATGATGGAGGTGGGGTCATGCTGGCAACCCCACTCTGAACCCCAGCTCATCGAGCGGTCCCCCCGCACCCTGCCTCGCTCCATCATCTACGTCAGCATCATCATCTTCATCATGGGTGCCAGCATCCACCTGGTGGGCGACTCTGTCAATCACCGCCTGCTCTTCAGTGGCTACCAGCACCACCTGTCTGTCCGTGAGAACCCGATCATCAAGAATCTCAAACCGGAGACGCTGGTGAGGCCACTTCCTGCTCCCTGCCTGTAAGCCCTTGGGGAACAGTCTGCCCTGGGAGGCTGAAGAAATTGCCCCCACCCCTCGCCGCACCTGTCCTTCCACTAAAGGCATTCTGCTAGGTGAGGGCACTCACCTGGCCAAGTTAGGATGCTCAAGGGTTCTTAGAAAGTGGTGCACAGAGCCGGGCGGGGTGGCTCATGCCTGTAATCCCAGCACTTTGGGAGTCCGAGGCGGGTGGATCACAAGGTCAAGAAATCGAGACCATCCTGGTCAACAAGGTGAAACCCCATCTCTACTAAAAATACAAAACATTAGCTGGGCATGGTGGCGCGTGCCTGTAATCCCAGCTACTCAGGAGGCTGAGGCAGGAGAATTGCCTGAACCCAGGAGGCGGAGGTTGCGGTGAGCCGAGATCGCGCCATTGCACTCCAGCCTGGGTAACAAGAGTGAAACTCCGTCTCAAAAAAAAAAAAAAAGTGCTGCACAGACTGGCACCTGCCTGGGCCTAACAGAGGGCAAGGCCAGGGGTAGGGGACAAGGCAGTGGGTGAGGCCTGGGACTGGAGGAGGGTGGTCGGAGGGGATACTTGGGGCCCCAGCACCTCCCTGGACTGACAATGGCATCCCCCTCCCACTCTGCCCTGCCCGTGCCTCCCTCAGATCGACTCCTTTGAGCTGCTCTACTATTATGATGAGTACCTGGGCCACTGCATGTGGTGAGTGATGGGCTCGTCTGTCTATCCCAGGGGCCCCAGCCACAGGCCAGCTCCGTCACTGGCCTCAGGGACACACTGGGCAAGGCTGTCTAGGCCGCAGGTCTCCATGTGCCGACTCGCATCCCCTGGAAAGGGCTGTGGGCTCAGCCTCCAGTGAGATTGTTCCCTGAGGTTGCCCTGGAGACCCAGCTGCAGTCCCAGGCCCTGGGCCCCCGCCCAGCCCTCAGTGCCTGCAGCGGCCAGCAGAGGTCAGCGAGCGGCTGTGGTCCTCCCTCGCCAAGCCTGAGCACAGAGGGTGGGGGAGGAGGACGTGTCCCTGATAAACAACCCCAGATGGCGATGCAGGGGGTGGGGGCGGAGCCAGGGACCCCCGACCCGTGTCTGGCCTGCTTTTTGGGAGTGGAGGAAGCTGAGGGGAGCCAGCTGGATTAGGCTGGGGAGGGGCATGCTGTTAGCGTTCCCCCCTTCTCAGAACTCCCAGGGGAGCGCCTTTTCCCACCTACCCTGTTCCCTGCAGTCGGGGGAGACCTCAGAAATGTGGCCTCAGCCTCAGGAGATCCCAGGCCCAGACTGGGAGGCTTCATCTGTTCCAGCCTCCCATCTTACCCAGGAGAAACTGAGGCCAGAGGGAGGAGGGCTCCGAGGGTCACAGCTGGGAGTTGAGGGCCAGCCCTGGAGCTGGTGCTGACGCCACGTGCACCCCGCGCGGGCTCTTCCAGGGTTTTTAAGGCCCTGCAAAGTCAATCCTCCTGGCTCAGCTGGTCCAGGGTCCCTGGACAGGCCCCCTGCTATCTTTCCCTCGCGTTTGCCAGAGGCTCTTCCCACGGAAGGTTGGGGAAGGGTGGAGGGGCTAAGAACAGCGAGCTGGAGCTCCAGCGGGGTCCGGGTGAGAAGAGGCAAGTAGGTATACAGGTGAAAGTCAGCACAGGTGGGAGCAAGGGAGCCAGCGTGTGGAGAGGGGAGAGGGTGGCATTTTGGGGTGGATGTCCGGGGCGGGGGTGGGGCGCT